GGTGATCTGCCCGCCTCGGCCTCCCAAAGTGCTGGGATTACAGGTGTGAGCCACATGCCTGGCCTGGCTTTTAACTTTTAATTCCTCAGAGAGCCAGGCATGGTGCTTTGCTCAGGAAGCGTTGGTTGAATTAAACCAGAGCACTTCTTGAAAAGGGAAAAGAACAGGAGTTAGAGGGAGATGGCGGGAACCCCTCTCTGGAGATGGTTCTTTAAATGAGTGGATTCTGCAGGGCACTGTTACTCATACCTGTAATCCCAGCATTTTGGGAGGCCAAAGCAGGAGGATCACCTGAGGCCAGGAGTTCGAGAGCAACCTTGGCAACATAGTGAGACCTCATCTGTCCAAAAAAATTTAAAAATTAGCACATGCTTATAGTTCCAGCTACTTGGGGGGATGAGGCACAAGAACCGGTGGAACCCAGGAGGTGGAGGTTGCAGTGAGCTGAGATCATCCCATTGCACTCCAGTCTGGGCAATAAGTGTGATACTCTGTCTCAAAAAAAAGAAAATAGGACTGACTTACAAGAACAATTGTTCTTCTCCTCCTTCCTTTATCCCATTATCCATTACAGGAAAGAAGACCAAAAATGTAGCCATAAAAAGAGTCTCAACATGACCCTTTTTCAAGATAATGACTGTCTCTGAGGACCATTTAAAATCCAGGGAGAACTATTTACAAGTTAATTTTTGTTCCTCGATCCAATCATTCTCCCTCTGCCCTTCGATAGAATTCCTCTTCTCCCCCTTCCCATGACCTGTTTTTAACAGAATCCAAGCTACCCATTCTTTCTGTAACTTCAAGATGGTGGATGAGCTTCCATACCTCACTGGGAAGTTGGATCTTCATTCTTAAGCCTCCCATGTATACATGTTACATACATTTGCATTCCTTTTCTCCTATTAATCAATCTGCCTTATGTCAGTGACTTTTGGCGGACTTGTAGCTTGTCACTTACATAAGGATCCTCCAGTTTACATAGTTTTGTAAATGTCAGGCCACCCTGTCCCACTAGACCACCAAAGTCCTGGAAGAGAGCTAGGATTTAACTTTTTTTTTTTTTTTTGAGACAGAGTCTTGCTCTGTCGCCCAGACTGGAGAGCAGTGGCTGGATCTTAGCTCACTGCCAGCTCCACCTCCCGGGTTCAGGCCATTCTCCTGCCTCAGCCTCCTGAGTAGCTGGGACTACAGGCGCCGGCCACCTCGCCCGGCTAGTTTTTTTTTTGTATTTTTTAGTAGAGACGGGGTTTCACTGATGGTCTCGATCTCCTGACCTCGTGATCCACCCGTCTCGGCCTCCCAAAGTGCTGGGATTACAGGTGTGAGCCACATGCCTGGCCTGGCTTTTAACTTTTAATTCCTCAGAGAGCCAGGCATGGTGCTTTGCTCAGGAAGCGTTGGTTGAATTAAACCAGAGCACTTCTTGAAAAGGGAAAAGAACAGGAGTTAGAGGGAGATGGCGGGAACCCCTCTCTGGAGATGGTTCTTTAAATGAGTGGATTCTGCAGGGCACTGTTACTCATACCTGTAATCCCAGCATTTTGGGAGGCCAAAGCAGGAGGATCACCTGAGGCCAGGAGTTCGAGACCAGTCTGGGCAACATACAGAGACCACCCCCCCATCTCCACAACAAATAAAAACTTAGCCAGGTTTGGTGGTGTGGGCCTATAGTCCCAGCTTCCCAGAGGCTGAGGCAAGAGGATACCTTAAGCCCAGGAGATTGAGGCTGCAGTGAGCTATGATGGTGCCACCGCACTACAGCCTGGGCAACAGAGTGAGACCCCATCTCAAATAAATAAACAGATAAACAAGTGGATTCTCAGCAAAACTTCTAGCCACTCACCTCATATATCCACAAGACCTTTGAGAATCCACAGTGTCTTGATGCAGTCAGTTTTCTAACAAGCTGGGGCTTCGCCTGTTCTCCCACAGATAAAAACATGCTGGAGGAAGCAGAAAGGGGCTGGCAGGTGGAAAGGTGAGGACTAGCTCATCATGTCAAGACTATGAGGTTGCTCTGATCTAGAGGGTCCCCCTGCCTGCTGGCCAATGGCCAGGAAGACTCCCACTGCCCCTGGATGCCCAGAGTGGGATGTCAGCTCCATCACTTATCAACTCCTCATCTATAGGGGCATTCTCCCTGAGGCTTCTCAGAAAATAGGGCCCTCCATTTGCTCCCCATGTGCTGAGCACATGATGATAGAACCCCTCCCGACTCAGAGACCCTGGCTCCTAGCTGCCCTGCCATGACCCAGACGGTGGCCTTTGTATATTTTTTTAGACTCACCTTGACTCACCTCAGACCATAGAAACTCTCATCCCAGAGGTCACTGCAATAGTTCCTCCACAACAGAGGCTTATCTGGGTAGAGGGAGGCTCCCTACCTATGGCCCAGCAGCCCTGACAGTGCAGATCACATATACCCCATGCCCCAGCACTGCCTACCACGCATGGGCTTACTTTGTACCCACCCACAGTTACCACCACATTACCTGCTCTCCAAGGTTAGGCGTGGCAGGAGAAGGTTGCTTGGACCAGCAGAAACTATGCAGTCAAGGGCAATTGGAGTCAGCATGGGCTGGGTGGGAGCCCTTGGTGGGGTGGGGAGGAGACTCCAGGTCATACCTCCTGGAGGATGTTTTAATCATTTCCAGCATGGAATGCTGTCAACCTTTGCCACAGATTCATTAGCTCTGAGTTTCTTTTCTCTGTCCCCAGCTACCCCTTACATGTCAATATGGACTTAATGATGGGAAATTCAGGCAAGTTTTTAAACATTTTATTCCCCCTGGCTCTTATCCTCAAAAATGCATGAATTTGGAGGCAGTGGCTCATGCCTGTAATGCCAACACTTTGCAAGGGTGAGGTGGGAAGATCACTTGAAGCCAGGAATTTGAGACCAGCCTGGGCAGCATAGTGAGACCCTGTTTCTACAAAAATAAATAAATAATTAAATAATAATAGTGATATGAAGCATGATTAAATAGCTGTATTTTTAAAAATGCATGAATTCATTACCTGATTCATTCCCTGGTTCCTCTCATAGTCCTCTGTGACCTCAGTGGGAGGGTTTTGGTCTCTCTACTATTTGTAGGCTGATATACAGTACACACACACACACACACACACACACAGTGTATCTTGAGCTTTCTTTTGTGTATCTACACACACACACATATATAAAAGAAAGCTCAAAACATAGAAGCCCTTTTTCAAAAATAACTGAAAGTTTCAAACAAAGTCTTTAAGTCTCCAGTTACCAATTTGCTGATATTCTTATTTAGAACCATATGTTCATCATATTGTTGCACAGGAAGACTATACATTCATTCTTTTGCTTAAACGTATGAGTTAAAACACTTGGCCAGGCATGGTGGTTCACACCTGTAATCCCAGAGCTTTGGGAGGCCAAGACTGGCAGATTTCTTGAGCTCAGGAATTGAACACCAGCCTGGGCAACATGGAAAAACCTCGTCTCTACAAAAGATAGAAAAATTAGCCAGGCATGATGGCGTGTGCCTGTGGTCCCAGCTACTCAGGAGGCTGAGGCAGGAGGATCACATGAGCCCAAGAGGTTGAGGCTGCAGTGAGCTGTGATTATGCCACTGCACTCCAGCCTGGGAGACAGAGTGAGAACCTGTCTCAAAAAAAAAAAAAAGAGAGAAATTTTAAAAAAGAAAACAACACCAAGGGCTGTAACTTTAAGATCATTAAATGAACTAATCACTGCATTAAAAAATGATTACTTTATGATCCTAAGAGATATGAGGCCAATACCAGGAAGGGGGTTGATTTCCCAAACCAGAGGCAGACCCTAGACTCTAACACAGTTAAGGAAAGGCCAGCAAGATGACAGTCCCCAGTACAATAGAAGTTACTGTATTTTATTTGTTGTTTTTCTTTTGTTTTGTTTTTTTAGAGATTGGGGTCTTGCTCGATTGCCCAGGCTGGAGTGCAGTGGTGGGACAATAGCTCACTGCAGCCTCCAGTTCCTGGGCTCAAGCAATCCTCCTTCCTCAGCCTCCTGAATAGCTGGGACTACAAGAGTACACCACCACACACACCAAAACAATTTTTTAAATGTTTGTGTAGAGATGGGGGTCTTGCTTTGTTGCCCAGGCTGGTCTCCAACTCCTGGCTTCAAGGGATCCTCCCACCTCAGCCTCCCAAATTGCTGAGATTACAGATGTGAGCCACCACAACCAGCTAGAACTTACTAATTTTAAAATTAAGAACTTAAAACTTGAGCAGCTAGAGCACCAAGATTTTTCTTTGTCCCCAAATAAGTACAGTTGCAGGCATAGAAAATCTGACATCTTTGCAAGAATCATCGTGGATGTAGACTCTGTCCTGTGTCTCTGGCCTGGTTTCGGGGACCAGGAGGGCAACCCCTTGCACTGCCAAGAAGCATGCCAAAGTTAATCATTGGCCCTGCTGAGTACATGGCCGATCAGGCTGTTTTTGTGTGCCTGTTTTTCTATTTTACGTAAATCACCCTGAACATGTTCGCATCAACCTACTGGTGATGCACCTTTGATCAATACATTTTAGACAAAAGTGGTTTTTGAGTCCAAAGATCAGGGCTGGGTTGACCTGAATACTGGATACAGGGCATATAAAACAGGGGCAAGGCACAGACTGATAGCAGAGCAATCACCACCAAGCCTGGAATAACTGCAAGGGCTCTGCTGACATCTTCCTGAGGTGCCAAGGGAAACGAGGATGGAGGAAGGAATGAATGTTCTCCATGACTTTGGGATCCAGTCAACACACTACCTCCAGGTGAATTACCAAGACTCCCAGGACTGGTTCATCTTGGTGTCCGTGATTGCAGACCTCAGGAATGCCTTCTACGTCCTCTTCCCCATCTGGTTCCATCTTCAGGAAGCTGTGGGCATTAAACTCCTCTGGGTAGCGGTGATTGGAGACTGGCTCAACCTCGTCTTTAAGTGGTAAGAACCATATAGAGAGGAGATCGGCAAGAAAAAGAGGCTGGCATTCGCTCTGGAAATATCTGTCCATCAGAAGTTGCTTTCCCCCAGGCTATTCAGGAAGCCAGAGGCTACTCATCCTCCCAACCCTTCTCTCTGACTTTGGATCATCTACATAAAGGGGGAAGACAGAAAAAAATCCTACCAGTGAGTTGAAAATACAGGAAAGCCTATTTCATATGGGTTAAAGCGTAGGACAGTTGAATTTCGTGAAAAGTCTGAATTATATAGGCTTTGAGCAAAGAGTTTTCTTAGTGTGAAGCAGAAGAGGTAACATAAAGAAAGATGTATGGGGCCAGGCATGGTGGCTCACACCAGTAATCCCAGCACTTTGGGAGGCCGAGGTGGGCGAATCACTCCTGGGCGAACTCAGGAGTTCAAGACCAGCCTGGGCAACACAAGGATACTCCATCTCTACAAAAACATTACGAAAATTAGCTGGGCGTGGTGGCGTGCACCTGTAGTCCCAGCTACTCAGGCGGCTGAGGTGAGAGGCGGAGGAGGTTGCAGTGAGTTGAGATCATGCCACTGCATTCCAGCCTGGGCAACAGAGTAAGACCCTGTCTCAAAAAAAAAAAAAAGATGATGTATGCTGTATGAAAAAAGGAAACAGATGATTCAACAGCCTGTTTTGTGGGGTAATGAAAAGTCACCCTGGGAACCGGGCTCCAGCCCTCATTCTACCACCCACCAACTACATGTCCTTGGCAAGTCATATCAATTATCTGAGTTTCTGTTTTATAATCTACAAATAGGTTATCTCTGGCAGCTTAATAATAATCAGAGTTAACATTTACTAAACAGTACATGCCAGGCCATGTGCTATGTGCTTTTCTGTGAGGTAGTTACTGCTATTTACAGAAATAGTAGATGCAGAGACCAAGGTGCTGAGTTAAATGGTTAGGCCAACGAGGTTAGTACATGCTGAGCCAGGACGGAAGCCCAGGCAGGCAGGCTGGCTTCCGCAGCAATGCTCTTAAGAACTATGTTACATCCAGTGCTGATAAACTGACTCTTTGTGGGGGGGAAAAAGCCCTGAGTTTAGCATTTGCCAGTTTTCTACCACATAAACATTCCCATTATGGCTTCTTTCTTTCTTTTCTTTTCTTTTCTCTTTTCTTTTCTTTCTCTCTCTCTGTCTTTCTCTCTCTCTCTCTCTTTCTGTCTTTCTCTCTCTCTCTCTCCCTCCCTCCCTCTCTCTCTCTCTCTCTCTCTCTCTTTCATTTGTTTGAGACGGAGTCTTGCAGTATCACCCGGCTGGAGTGCAATGGCGTGATCTCAGCTCACTGCAACCTCTGCCATTCGGGTTCAAGTGAGTCTCCTGCCTCAGCCTCCTGAGTAGCTGGGATTACAGGCGCCCGCCACCATGCCCGGCTAATTTTTTTGTATTTTTAGTAGAGACGGGGTTTCACGATGTTGACCAGGCTGGTCTCAAACTCCTGACCTCATGATTCGCCTGCCTTGGCCTCCCCAAGTGCTAGGATTACAGGCGTGAGACACCACACCCAGCCACATGAGTCTAAAAAATAAGAAGATGAAGTGTTATTCCAAACATCTGATCTCCACTGAAGAACCATGCAATCTCTCTGGGTTGGTGGAGGTCAGAGTTAGTGGCTCTCCCTGATTTCGGTGAGAAATCACTATTCCACCGTCACAGGGGATAAAAGGCATCCTGACTGACAGTTGACACCTATTTCCACAGTGAAAGATATATCTAGTGCTTTTAAAGGGGAAGTGGTTTGTCTGAGACACTCTGTTTCAAAGCAGAGAGGATTCTGAAGCTATATACATCCTTACAGAGAGCAATTCTGATGGAAATGCAGGCCATGTTTCCTGGGGGAGCTCCTCCTAGGGGCTGGAGTACATTCTCTGATGTCAGAGGAAATGCAAGATTCCTTGAGGCCTGAGGGAACCCATGGTATATGCAAGTCCAAGTTTCAAACTCTAGTTCCATATGCATTCTTCCAGGACAAATACTGCTTGAGGTTAAAAAAAAAAAAAAAAAAAAA